ATAATAATTCGATAAGAATATTCTTCTCTACGCTGACGACTTTTAGAACTATATTAATTTATTCTTTTATTAATAAGTTTATATTTTTATATAGAATACTATTATCGCTAGAACGATATTTAATTTTTAAATACTTAAAATATCTATCTTCTTTTTAAATTCTATTTTTTAATAATTTAAGATATTTATATTTTTATATATAAGAATTTTCGATAATAATATTATTATTTCTTTTAATAAAGAAAGTATTATACTAATTATTCGAGGGAATAGAGTTTTTACTAATTTTATTAATTTCTTTCTTACTTTTTAAGTCTAATATATTATTAATAACTCGAAGATTTATATTTAATACTTATAGAAAAATAACTAATTCTTAAAAAGTATTAAAAGATTATTTTAAAATTTAATATTTTAGACGTATAAAGATTTAATTATTTTAAATTAGATATCTTATAAATATTAATAAATTTTAAGAAAGTAATAGCTATAGAGAATTATACGTAGAAATCTTTAAACGATTTCTTTTTATCTATTACTCTTATATTAAATTTAAAATTAAATATCTTAATATTCGATTTAGTAATCTTATTATATATTTTAAATATATTATCTAATTTATTAATTATTTTTTAAATAATTTAATATAAATCTAAAATATCTTTATTTATTTTTATTTTAATAATATTATATATAGTAAACTTATAATAATTCTATATATAATCGATTTTTTTAAATTTAATAGAGAAGATTATAGCGCTTTATTTAAACTTCGCTTTAAGATATTAACGCTAGCTATTCTACTTATTTCGATTATTAATATTATAAAAATTTAAAATATCGAGATATTATTTATTTAATTCTATATTCTCTACGCGATTTATAATAGAGATATAATATAAATTTTAATAAATATTATTAATAAGAATACTCGACTAACGAGATATAATCTCTATATCTTTCTTATTAAAGTTTTTTAAATTAGCTAATATATAAGATTATTACTTTTTTAACTATTACTCTTTATACTTTAAGTCTTATTTAAATTTCTTATTTTTTTTAATAAGTTTTATAATATTAATACGATATCTATTATATAAATCTTAAAGTCTATTATTAATTTCTTACTTATAAAATAATTAATTATTACTATTATTTAGCTAAGTAATAATTATTAATATCTTTATCTTAATTTAAGCGATATTCTAATTAAATTCTTTATTTTATTATTAAAGTATCTTAATATTATAACTAATAGTTCGAAAGCTCTCTATTAAAATCTTTAATTTATTATATTAAGTATTAAAGATATTAATAGCGCTTTTTATATATTCTATAAGTTAATAATAAATATAAAGATTATAATAAACTCTTCTTTAATAATATCTATAAATTATACTTCGATATAATCTAAATTAAATTTAATAATATATCTTCTAGAGATAGAACGCTTTCTTTTATATTATATAAATAATATAATAATATTTAAAATCTTTTTATCGAAGTTTTTAAGTTCTTTTAGATAATAATATATCTATAACTTACTTATAATAATTTAACTTTATATATTATCTAAATTTAAAATTAATAAATTTATAGCTAATGTTAAGCTAGTAAAAATATAAAGAAGATTTAGTTTAAGATTTATTTCTTTTAATATATTAAAGATATTTATTTTCTTTAGATTCTTATTTAATCTAGTTAGATTAACCTTTATATAAGTAGAAGATTTTTTTTTAAATAATCTTTCGAGTAATAAGCTTCTTTAGCTATAGCTACTAACTTCTTAATAATATATTCTCTTTTTAATTATATATTTAATATAATTAATAAATAAATTACTATCGCTTTAGAAGAAAGATAGATAGTATTATATTAGAGACTTAATAATATATATAATAACTCTATATTATAGTATAAAGAGAATATTATTTATATAGAATTATTATAAGTATATAAGCTTTATAATAAGATAGAAAAATCGAAAGGTCTTAATACGCTAAATCTAATTAGACTATAAAATAAGTAAGATTATAAGATTATTAAAATCGTAACATATATACTAATTAATTATAAATTTAAAGTTACTACGCTCTTTAATAAGATCGATTAAATTATTATAAGTAAATAAATTAGTATCCGTAACTATCAAAATCTCGCCCTTCCGCGTCTCTCTTATTAAAAAAATAGATATATATTATTTATAAATAGAATAACTTTTTTATTTTCTATTAAAATTTTAAGATTTTTTTTAAATTATAAAGCGTTATTTACGCTTTTTAAATTTTTAAGAATTTTAAAATTTAATCTTATAGTTATTAATAAGTAAGAAATCTAAATATCGCTTATTAAAGTTCGCTCGACAGCTCTAATTAAAAAATAGATATATATTATTTATAAATAGAATAACTTTTTTATTTTCTATTAAAAATTTTAATTTTTTTTTAAATTATAAAGCGTAATTTAGATATTTTAATTATTTAAAATTTCTAAAGTTTAGTCTTATAATTATTTAAAGATAAAGAATTTAAAGATTTCTTATTAAAGTTTATTTATTCAATTTACTCGATAGCTCTAATTAAAAAAATATATTATTATTAAGAAAATAAATAACTAAGTTATAAATTCATAGTGTAATAAAAAGATATTAATTATTCTATATACCTCTAGAGTAGATATATACGATGTTAAGTTACGCTAGACTTAAATAAGTAATAACTTTAAAGAAGATCTTAACGTATCGTAATAATTATAAATTTCATTTATAGATTTAAACTCGTATTTTAATAAGAAGATAAGTAAATAACTTATAGTTAAAGCTTTTATATATATTAATAAAAGTTAAATATAAAAAATAAAAAATTATAATTATAATAATAAATAATAATAAAAATTAATAATAGAGTTTAATAATATAATTAAATAAAACTTAATATATTAAGAGTTTCTTAACTCTATATATATATACGAGTAAAGATTTATAAATTAAATTTATAATTATTTTTTTAATTAGAGCTATCGAGTAAATAGATAAGCGATCTTTAATAAGCGAACTTTAATAAGCGATATTTAAATTCCTTACGCTTTAATAATTATAAGATTAAATTTATTTATTTATTTTTCTATCTAAAAGCTTATATTTCGTTCTATAATTTAAAAAAAAAATCTTAAAATTTTAATAGAAAATAAAAAAGTTATTTTAAAATTAAATAATATATATCTATTTTTTAATTAGAGCTATTAAGCGAACTTTAATAAGCGATATTTAAATTCCTTACGCTTTAATAATTATAAGACTAAATTTAAGAATTCTTTTTTTATCTAAAAGTCTATATTTCGTTCTATAAATTATAGACTATAATTTAAAAAAAAATCTTAAAATTTTAATAGAAAATGAAAAAGTTATTCTATATGTTAATAACGTATATCTATTTTTTTAATAATTTCGAATATTTAATAGTTATAAACGTTAATTTATATATTTATAATAATTTAATTAATTTAATTATAGAGCGTAATAACTTTAAATTTATAATTAACTATATATATAAATTTAAGATTTTTAAAGCTTAACTCTATCTTATTCTTTTATATATACTAATATTCTTTTTATAAAATTTTTTCTATTAATTTAATATATATAAAATTAATATAAAATTAATAAAAAATTAATAAAAAATTAAATAAAAAATTAAATATAAAATATAAAATTTTATTAAATAAGTAATTTAATAAGTATTATACTTAATAATTAAAGTTTTAAATAATTAAATATTATTAATTTATTTATTATTAACTTTAAAAAATTATCTAATATAATTCTTTTATCTATTAATATATATAATAGAATAAGATAGAGTTAAATTTAAAAATCTTAAATTTATATATATAGTTAAGTATAAATTTAAAGTTACTACGCTCTTTAATTAGATTAACTAAGTTATTATAAATAAATAAATTAGTATTTATAACTATTAAAAAATAAATATACGTTATTTATAAATAGAATAACTTTTTTATTTTCTATTAAATTTTTAAGATTTTTTTTTAAAATTATAGAACGTAGATTACGCTTTTAAACTTCTTAAAAATTTTAAAATTTAATCTTATAATTATTAAAAGGTAAGGCACTCAAATATCGCTTATCAAAGATCGCTTTTTAAAGATTACTTATTATAAATAGATCGCTGCTACGCGTATAGCCTCTATCTACTAAGCGTATAGCCCTTCCTTTATATTAGATATACGTAGTCTTAAGAGCTTTAAAGCTGATAGTCTTACTATTTATAGAGCGGTTACGAGTAAATAAGATTCTCTCTCTTTTCGAGGGGCTCTTCTATATACACTCGCTTCTTCGCTCTTATAATACGCTAGAATTTAAATAGACTAGCTCTATCGAGAGCTAACGACTAAATCTCGAAGATATAATTTAAATATAAAGAGTATATACGTTTAATAGATAGAGACTATACGCGTAATAACTATCTAAATTTACTTTATAGATCTAATTAAAAAAATAATTATAAATTTAATTCGTAAACCTTTACTCGTTATAATTATATTATCTTTAAATTATTTATAATAAAATTTAAATTTTATATTATTACTATAAATAATTATTTCGAAATTAATAGAATAAAAGAATTTTATTAAAATCTAATTTTAATCTAATTTAGATAGCTCGGGGGTTGAAAGTTTAATGTGTAGATCGTGCGCGGGAGGCTGCATTAGTAGTATAGTACGGACGGGGGACTGTCGGAGGGGGACTGTTTGGAGTCAAGTTGTTCAGAACTTGGGCATCCAAAGGCCGTTCAGCTGCCCAGGAAAGATCTCCTGGGACTTCGGAAGTGAGCGGGGAGGTCCATGGTGCCCTGATATGACATAATATCTTGTAGCTTTTCAAGTCCTAGAAGGATCGTCCCAGGAACGTCGAAAATACTCGGTAGCTCTTATATTCACGTGGCGAGAGCCGACGAGATTTAATGTATTCTTACTAAATCTCAACCTAGAAGTGGCTTGCTGCTACCATCAGGAAACACAACCCTGTACTTTCCCAATGCAGCAATTTGAGGTAAATCGTCTTCCGTCATTTGACCTGTTCTAAACCTCTCTATTGCACCCGTCTCGATGGCCGAATACATTTCCGGATGCCGAAGTTCTACTTGATTTAAAAGAGATAAGACAATTGTTTGAGGGCAACTTACTGTGTTTCTCCGACTCCCTTTCGAAATTCCTATCTGATTCGAGCTTCTTCTCGAGGCTCTCATTTTCGTACATCTTCTTGATAACTTTGGCAGTAATATCTGCCATAGTCTGCGGCGTGTCAATGTACTCATGACCCATGCCCAAACTACCCTTGTGCTTTACCAGAAAGACGTCCCCCCTAAAAAAAAGTCGTTCCGTTGGTAGGTCAGATTTGATAACGTCTTTGCAGGCTTGATTAACTGGTAGCTTGGAGGAGGTGGTATCCCATCGTCTGGCGCCTTGGAGGTAAAATGTCTTGGCAGAACATTAAAATACCATACTTTCGCAGCCCAATAAGTTTCTAATAACAACCTTTACAATAAAACTTTCAGTTGCGAAGTTCAAGATCTGCTTAAGAAAAATAAATGCGAAACTATAAACTTTTCTATGGGGGTCCTCGTTATTGAGTTATGGTGAGTTGCAAGACGGGACTTTTTGATGTTCGGTCGGAACCCCTGAATTTTACCCCCTGCCAGACGATGGGATAGTAAAGACAATAGTTCCCCCAAGTGTCCGGGTTTTCAGATCGCAACCATTCATTGCTTGGGGTAATCGTATGGGAACACGCTATACTTAGTATAGGCTACCCTAACGCTAAGGCCGCCTCAATACGAATTTTTTCAATTATTTTACCTACCCACCCACATATATATATACTATAAACTATTATCATCTATTTTAATCTCTCTAGTCCCTCTAATCTTAATTAACTATCTAGCCCTCGTTACAATAGCCTTAAATCACTTAATCTTCTTATTTCTAAGTATATTATATATCTAAAACTCTTTAATATTTACTTATTTTAAAGTCTTTAAAATCTTTTTAACCTTCGTTTTTTTATATATAATAACTTTATTTCGAGCTTAATAAGAGTAAATAATACTTTCCTTCTATATCATAATATTAAATTCTATTTTTCGAGCTACTTAAGTTACTATAGCTTATTATATAACATTTAATTCTCGCTTAGCGAGAAGACCTAAAAGCATTTTCGCTTCTATTTTACGAATATATCTATTAAGTAATTAATTCTATAGATATATATCTTATAGTTTCTTTTTATATTATATAACTTAATAATGAGTATATAATATCGACTAATTCTCAAGATCGGGTATCTCTTACTCTGAAGTCTTATTTCTTATTAAAGAGTTTCTCCGCTGAAATCTAGTCAAATGATTTAAAATAATAGTGAGATTATAGGAAATTAAATCTATTTCTCGTTATATAGATATAATAGTTGATCTGATAAAGGTTCGATTATGAATTACTTGAAAATTAGTTAAGAAATTAATCTTTAAATAATTATCGCTAGTTTAATATATTACGATATCGATTATCTTAATATATTAATACTTAAATAGTTAAAAGATATTTATATCTAATAGCTAATATAAATATATAGAGTATAAAAATAAATAGAATAGAATAATATTATTATTCTTTATATATTTAAATATCTCTCTTATAAGATAATTGTTATAGCCATCAAATAGTAATAATCTATATATTCTCACATATCTTCTCTTCGTAAAATAATTAAAATACTTAATTTAGATCTTATATAGGTTATTATTTACGTATTTAATATTACTAATATCTTATAAAGTATCGAAATTAAGACTCTCTTAAAACTAATTATTAAGATATTATTTTTTAGCTAAAATTAATATTAGGGGAAACGTATAGTCTAAACTACCGACACTCTTAATTAAGATAATATATTCTCTATTATCCGCGTTTACTTAATATAGTAGAAGTTCTCTTTCTTCTATAATAATCTATTAACTCTTATTTACTTTAATTTAAAACTTAATCTTATTAAAATTATAGATATTCTCTATTTATACTTTAAACTCTTAATAAATACTTTAAAAACGCTTAAACTAATTTTAAATAATCTCTAGCTTATATATATTCTTTTATTAAAATACTAAAGACTTTTATTTATATATCTTATATTAAAAATTACGCTTTAAAAATTATATAGATTAATAATTATCTATATATTTAAGTAAACTAAGATACTCGCGAAGAATAGAATTTATAACTCTTTTAAATATTAAACGACGATAAGATATTTCTAATTTATCGAGCTGTTATATATATTAATAAAGAGTTTATTCTTTATAATCTATAAGTATATAAAAGTAGTTATTTTTAAAAGAAATTCTATTATAATAATTTAGAAGTTAATTATAGAGCACATTAAATTTAATAATTAATCGAAGGATTTTAAGCTTTATTTTAAGGGTAATAATAGCTAAGGCCTTCTAAATATATTTCTAAATAACGATATATGAATTAGATATAATTATGATTGTAATAGATAGATAGAGAAAGAATAGATCGAATTATTAAAAAATTTCGTATTGAGGTAATCTTAGCGTTGAGGTGGCCTATATAAAGTGTAGCGTGTTCCCATACGATTACTCCTCTTTATAAAACTATTTACGGGAGCTTAAAGCTTAATAGTCGCCCCATTAAAATTTTGCCGCAACCACCGCCTATGGCAAGCAGAGGCCAAATTCGTGATAGATAACTATAGAATAACTGTAGAATCGTTTAAATATGAAGCCATGTATAGTTTAATTGCCAAAAAAAACTTGATATAGCTTTTTTTAAGTCTTTACAGCCACGCTATCGCTGTCGCTGGTCGTTATTATCATATTACCGCCTATATTAAAATCACACGAGTGTAAATAGATATAGATTAAGTTACCTTCTACGTAGATACGGAGTATAATAGATAGATAGTTAACTAGCTAGATACGAAGCAAGATAGATACGAAGTAATATAGATAGGTAGTTAACGGCGTAATATAGGTAGGTAGCTGGCTAGGTAGCAATGTAGCTACGCAGCAATGTAGATAGGTAGCTGCGCAGCAGTGTGGGTAAGTAGGTAGGTAGGTAGGTAGGTAGGTAGGTAGGTAGGTAGGTAGGTAGGTAGGTAGGTAGGTAGGTAGGTAGGTAGGTAGGTAGGTAGGTAGGTAGGCGCGCAGCAGTGTAGGTAGGTAGCTGCGTAGCAGTGTGGGTAAGTAGGTAAGTAGATAGGTAGGTAGGTAGGTAGGTAAGTAGGTAGGCGCGCAGCAGTGTAGGTAGGTAGCTGCGCAGCAGTGTGGGCAGGTGGGTAGGTAGGTAGGTGGGTAGGTAGGTAGGTAGGTAGGTAGGTAGGTAGGTAGGCAGGTAGGTAGGTAGGTAGGTAGGTAAGTAGGTAGGCGCGCAGCAGTGTAGATAGGTAGCTGCGCAGTAGTGTGGATAAGTAGGTAGGTAGGTAGGTAGGTAGGTAGGTAGGTAGGTAGGTAGAATAGCTACTTATACTTCTAAATATAGAAATTCTAATCGAGATATCTTATATATATATTATAGTATAGTATAATAAGTTTAGACTTATAAATTAAATTCATAATCTATTTTTTTAATTAAAATTATTATTAAGAAATAGTTCTTAATATTATATAATATTAATATAGTATAAAGTTATTTCATTAATCTATATAATCTATAGATATATATATACGAAGAGAGGCGCGCTAAGATTTAATTAGAAAGGTATATCGAGTATAAAGAATTAATTTATAATAATTATTTATAAAAAATAGAGAAAGATTATATTCTTATAGTAAGAAGTATCGAAATATTAAAAAGAAATAAAGATAACGTATTAATTAGTAATATGAATTTTATAATATCTTCTATCGTAGTAAAATCTTTCGAATAATGAAATAGCTTTAATTCGTTTAAATATATATCATTTAATATTTCTTCTATAGAGATCTAATTAACTATAATTATCGTAATAGATTCTTCTCTTATAACGTTATTATAGTAATATTAGTATATATAATAGAATAAGATAGAGCTAAGCTTGAAAATCTTAAATTTGTATGTGCAGTCAATTATAAATTTAGGGTTACTACGCTCTTTGGTTAGATCGACTAAGTCATCGCGGATAAATAAATTAGCGTCCGCAATTATCAAAATCTCGCCCTTCCGCGCCTCCTTATTAAAAATTAGATATACGTTATTGACACATAAAATAACTTTTTTGTTTTCTATTAAAATTTTAAGAAGTTTTTTTTAAATTATAGAATAAAATATAGGCTTTTAAATAAAAAAAGAATTTCTAAATATAGTCTTATAATTATTAAAGCGTAAGGAATTCAAATATCGCTCACCAGAGTTCGATAGCGGGACAGCCCTGATCAAAAAACAGGTACACATTATTTAATTTTGAAATAACTTTTTTATTTTCTATTATAATTATGATATTTTTTTTTAAATTATAGAATAAGATATAGGCTTTTAGATAAAAAAAGAATACTTAAATTTAAACTTATAATTATTAAAAGATAAGGCATTTAAATATCGCTTATTAAAGATCGCTTATTAAATTTACTCGATAGCTCTAATTAAAAAAATGATTATAAATTTAATTTATAGACCTTTACTCGTATTATATTAATATAATAATATTCTTCGCTTACTAAGTAATAATTTAATATGAAATTATAAAGAGTATATATCGTAGAATTTTAGAGAGCTAAATTGTATTCTTAATAATAATAGTCTTATTATCGCTTAGTTTCTTCGTAATATTCTTTATATTTATCTATTATAGTTTCTTCTCTTACTTCTTAATATAATAGAAATAATAAGTTAAGTTATAGTAGTATTCTTCGCTTACTAAGTAATAATTTAATATAGAATCGTAGAGAGTATATAACGTAAGATCTTAAAGAGCTAAGTCGTATTCTTAACGATAATAGTCTTATTATCGCTTAATTTCTTCGTAATATTCTTCGTAATATTCTTCGTAGTATTCTCTATATTTATCTATTATAGTTTCTTCTCTTACTTCTTCTCTTATAGAGTATTAAATTAAATAACTAGCTAAGTAGCTAATTAAGTAAATAACTAAGTAACTAGCTAACGATTTAATTAAATAAATTACTAAGTTAATAGAGTAAATAGTATTAATTAAGTAACTAGTTAAGTATCGCTAGCTTAATAGAAGTATATAAAAGAGAACGATAGCTATAAATCCGATCGGGCTCTTTTTTAAA